AATAACATCTATCTGCGGTAAATACTCGTATGTTTCTTATTTTGGGATGCCACATTTAAAAAACACGTTATCTAACGGACGTATTTCTGGCGCTCTTGCTATAAGCGCCCGCGTGGACAGACCCCTCGTAGATTGTCCATAAAGGAACCTCGCGTACAGTCAAGCGTGATAAATCCTGTTTCACGCGCACGCCTGATGAACGGGAATACCTCGAGGGTGTGCCGAATCCTTCGGCGACTTCAGGCAACACCTAGGGAAATGTTGCTAACAGTAGTCGAACTCGCATATTATCCAGTATCAATGGAGAAACAAACAGGTGACCAGTTTATTCTGGCTAGGTCTCACTGGGCGAAACAGTGAGTACTCAGGATCGAACAACCCTGACAACTGCTGGTTAACGCCTGGCAGAAATCTCGCAGAATATTTCGGAGCTTACCGCATCGGGCATGACAAAAGGCGTGTAAAGTACGGGTAGGTGTAAGAGGCATCAACTCGAAACAAGATGCCTTAACGTTGTGTTCGCAATTTAACGAAGACGATAAAACAACACAAATTTATCTAAATGGATTTAGTGCATAGGAATATAATTTGTAAACTAAGTCGACGATAGTAAGTGCTAGTTTTTACATTTTAAAATAACGAACCAAAACCCCAAATCTCATATCGCTGTTATAACCTTCCGAATTAAGAAAAGCGCAAATTTGTACACAAAAATGTTCTATTTACAATGATAAATATGGTCTAAAAGTTATACTGTACAGGGGTGGTACAAAGCAAAATGAAACTGTACGAGTTGAGCACTGAAATGCAATCCTGGGTAACCCAATGCACAAATTGTATTTTGGGACGCGTAAGCATTTACGAAGAGGGGCATTTAAGTCAAGCGTATCTGCTGGGGGTGCGCCACCTCCAAAAGTTCAACCATATATTAGAAATATAAGTAATCAGATAAGATAAATCGAACCTGGGGCAGAAAAATCAGGAACGTGCACCAACGAAGTACTGGGGAAGCTCTAAATACACGACGTAAATGTTAACACAGACACGTTCCCATTTGCCACATACGTGCCTCGTGAGGTGAGAAGAAATAAATGGCATGGAAAGGTGGATCTCAACGTATTCTACAATTGATCGTCCTTTAGGAGCAGATGCTTAACTTTCCACCGCCGCGGTTTGCTGATCTACTGGGAGCCATGCATCCTCCACGGCGGAATAGTAGAAATTAGCGTCCTCTATATACAGAAAATACGGACAAGAATCCCCTTCCATGATCATCGAAGTCCACGGTCGAGGACTCTCATTACTTTCAAATGGTTGAAGGTAAGGTGCCGAAGGATCGGAGACATTCTGATTATCTTTTAAGGGTGACTTTGATTTATCTTGTTTTATTTTGGGCTTGAGGGGCTTCGGCTTACACACAGGCATTGGCGGTCGGACCGACTTTGGTTGGGGCGGCAGTATATGTTGAAACGGTTGAATTACCTCTGGAACGGGACCTTTTGGCGCAATGGGGATAAAGTTTGAAGGAAGAACAGTTGGAGAAACAAAAGAACCCTGAGCTCCAACAGAATGAATGGGTTGCAGCACGTACCCTACTATTGTCTGATTACCGGGCGTGCTAGGACCCTCTGCAGATTTTTGTGCAATCAGGGATGTGC